TTGTTTCCATCACAGCACACAGGAAATTTTCTTTACTATCTTGTTGCCTGTAGATAAGAATGATTACCATTTACCACCTTCAGATTACTGGACAGACAATAAAGAATAAATTCATTTACCGACCTGGATGGATGTGTTTAGTCAGCTCACTTTCAAAACTGTGAGGGGAAACCAGAAATGGAATAGCTGGTTTTGCTTGTGGCCTTACAGTGAACTGTTTCTGGTGAGACTGAAAGATAGTGGCGAGATTTTTGGGGTTGTTGCTCACTAGCTTGTCCTATCTTGTGGAAGAAGAAATTTAATAATCATCAAGTGAAAATTCTCTTTGCAAAGGTACAGTTTCCAGTTACAAGAAATGACAGGGTTGGTCCTGGAAATTTCCTCATCTCTGTTTCTCTGGTCAGGAATTTTCTCCTGCTTCTCAAAGTGGCTTTATTCACTGGGATGATTCAGATGTTGGTATCTGTGCAAGGTAAGCCAATATGCGATGAGAATGGAAAATCAGTTACTGATGAATTGTGATGAAATTCAGAGATGAAAAATACAAGACAGGAAGTGGCAAGACAGATTAGTGTATTTATTTCTTCCTTGATTTCTAGAGATTTCATCAATGACCTTAAATCTAACTCCACTTTTAGAGGGTTTTCTCTTTTTCTAACCCTCATATTTATACATGCATTATCAGTAACATGGGACAAACAGTAGTAACAGAACAAGAAAAATGGAATATCAGGGGAAATAGCATGCAGTGTAGATGGGAAGGTAAGGACAGAGATTAACTGGTGGAATCAAGTGTGGAATTAGTTGCAAAAAAGTACAGATACAGGTTGAAGTTGGTAGATGTGCATATTACGCACTGACATTTTGTCTCAGTCTGGCTGTGCTCTTCTCTATTCATAGAATCATAGAATCACTGAGTTCGGAAAAGACTTCCAAGATCATCCAGTCCTACAATCCACCTATCACCAATATTTCCCACTAAACCATTTATTTTAGTGCAACTTATAAATGTTTCTTGAGCACCTCCAGGGTCGGTGACTCCACCACATCCCTGGGCAGCCCCTTCCAGCCCACTCTTTCAGAGTTGTTTTTCCTTACATCCAATTTGAATCTCTCCTGACACAACTTGAGGTCACTGCCTCTAGTCCTATTGCTAGTTACGTGGGAGAAGAGGCCAACCTGCACCTCGCCACAACCTCCTTTCGGGTAGAGACGAGCAATAAGGTCTCCCCTGACACTCTTCTCCAGATTAAATAATCCTAGTTCCCTCAACTGCTCCTCATAAGACCTGTGCTTCAGACCTCTCACTAGCTCCATTGCCTTTCTCTGAACACACTCCATGTCCTTTCTTGTAGTGAGGCCCAAAACTGAGCACAGTACTCAAGGTGAGCCCTCACCAGTTCTAAGTACTGAGGGCTGATCACTTCCCTGCTCCTGTTGGCAACACTATTTCTGATTCAAGCCGGGATACCATTGGCATTCCTGGCTACCTAGGCACACTGCTGGCTCATGGTCAGCCAACACCCCTAGGTCCATTTCCTCTGCACAGTCTTTCAGCCACTCTGCAAGCCTGTAGCATTGACTGGGGTTGTTTTAGCTGAAGTGCAGAACCCAGCACTTGGACTTGTTTAACTTCATCCCATTGTTCTCAGCCCAGCTATCCAGCCTGTTTGGATCCCTCTGTCACGCCTTCCTACACCAAGGCAGACTAATACTTCCTCCCAGCTTGGTGTCCTCTGCAAACTTACTAAGGGTTCACTCAATCCCCTCATCCAGGTCATCAATAAAGATATTGAACAGGACAGGCCTCAATAACAACCCCTGGGGAACAACATTAATGACCAGTCACCAACTGGATTTAACTCCATTCACCACCACCCTCTGGGTCCGGCTCTCTAGCCACTCTTTACCCAGCAAAGAGTTTTCTTGTTCAGGTCATGGACTGCCAGCTTCTCCTGGAGGAAGACAATGTCAAAGGCTTTGCTGAAGTCTAGGTAGACTACAAATTCTGATTTGATCTTCGATGCCTGTGCTACAGGGATTTTCCAAGTGAAATGTGATGTGTTTAGTAGCTGTGGATGGGCATTTTTACCCTAAATTTGACCACTCATTTTCAAAATGCATCTAAACTTTTATTACCCATCACTGTCCTGTTGCAAGTTGTTCCTCAGTTAAAAAAAAAAAATCTTTCATTGTGTGAAGAAATATAATCTCATTTTTTTCTGATACGTCTACATTTCTGTTTTGAAGTGATGGTTCTAATAATGAAGAGGGGAAGGAGGGGAGAGAGTTATAAAGGAACTCTATTCTTTACAAATACTGAATCAGATTGTCAATTCAATTGGATCTGATTTCAAGTTAATATTGCATGAAGCCCTTAGATATGAGCAAGTAAAGTGGGTAAGTGAATAGGCATAGCAATTGGTAAGTGGCAATGACACATTGTTAAAAATTTTATGTTCATTTCCTACTTCAAGCAAATCATTACTATTCTTCAATGAAATTCTGTATGTGAATTGTCAGATCTTCAACTATGGGCAAAATCCACTTGCTCTAAATACAACCTGGAAATCAGAAAAACATTGCTGGAGTTCTACTACTGTCTAAGCAAGGTTTTCTAGTAGTAATGGAGTACATTCTTTTTTCAGAGTGCTGTCCTTAATGCCCATTAATTCAAGTGTTTTAGACGCTTGAGGTTTCACTAGCTTCATTTCACTTCCTTAAAAAAATGTATTATTACGATACTGTTTTGTTGACTTATGATTCTAAAGTAATTTACAGTGTTACAATTAAAAACTGATATCTTTCTACTCAGAAATGGCTGCATTTCATTGTTGGAGGATGTGATTACTGTCGTTAGAAATTATTTTGTTCTTTGAGATTAGTAATGCTTTATAAAACATATGTGACAGAGCCAGAATTATGGAAAGTAAATTTTTATTTTGTGCATTCCTCTTTTCTTGACCTCTTACTGAGCAGAGAAACTTCTAAAGCCAGTTCATTTTAAGAGAGAATTCAGCACCAGAATTTCAACAGCATTCCTCCATTTTCTGTGACTGAGGGAAGTTGCCAAAAAATGATCTTAACACATAAGGCAGGAAATTACTTTGTACCTGTCACCTTCAATTCCTTTTAATTTTGCCTCCCTGTGGAAGTATTTAAGCATGAGATTACTGCAAGATTGCATCGTACAAAATGCTGCTGTACAGCAGTGCTGGTGCACAAGCAAGTAGTATTCAATACATATGATAGGGATTCCCTTATTTTATGACAGTTTTTACAGATACTCTGTTTTTGTAATTTTCGTTTACTGTTGAACAATCGTAGTTTCATTTCTTGTCTCACACTTAAGTCACTGAAATCAAGAGGGAAGGAACATCAGATTGGATGTGAGCATTCTGGCTGACTGCTCAGTTCCATTTTTCTCCTCTTTTTTTTTTTTTTTTTTCTTCCTTAAAAAGAAGAGGAAATGGAGTACTTGTGGTACAGGACAGTGAGGAACTTGTTAGCAGTAGGACCACAGGGGACTGAAGAAAATAAATTTTGTAAATAAAGGAGGGAATACACAGCATTTTGAAGGCAACATTAGTAGGCCTATGACTGGAAAGGAGTCCTTATTTAAATCTGGATAGTCTTTTTCTAGAATAAGGACATAAAATCTTTTCATGATGTGAGATCCTCAGGAATATTCACCTGGAGAATTGAGTTATAATGTACTGCAGTGCAGCCACCCTGCTCCTGAGGGCTGTGACTTAAGCCATACTCCATGTCTGGTGAGGAACCTTTTGTCTGTTTTTTTCCAGGAACCATTCCACCAATCCTGCTGCTCAGCAGAATGTGCAGCTTTCTTCAGAGAGGAAGTGTAAGGGGAGATAACTCCAGCAGAAGCTGTGGTCTGAGCTGATACTGTTGGGCTGGGATAATTTTGTGCTGTTTTCAGGAACATTACAACCTGTGTCCAGAGGCTGCCACAGCTTCTCTCCCTAATGGTCTGCTTTACAAATTCAACTAATTGCAGCAATTACAGGCAGGAGATGCTGCTGGCAGGAGACACCAGTATGCTTCTCTCTAACATGCTGCAGAGCATGCTGCTCATTAATTAGACCAGCAGCAACATAAAAAAAAGAAAGGGGGAAAAAAAAAAAAAGGAAAAAGAAGAAAGAAAAAAAAAAAAGAAGTAGAAAAATATCTCCATCTGGAAATGCAAATAAATGTTATGAGACTTGTTACAGCCATGAACAATCATGGTTTGGCTCGCCAGCCATCAGTCGCAGCCAGGCTGGTCCCAGGTCACTGGCAGGCAGACAGGTCGGGCTACAAGTCAGGTGGGCATACCTGAAACATGCAGCAGTTATTTACAATGTAACAAACATGTCCTAGCTGGGTAAATGTAAATGGGATTCCCATCCCAAGGGGTGCATCAGCAGAGCAGAAAGTACTTCTGCTTGAGAGTGATACATTTACAACACAGCAGAGTTCTGTTAGCTGCCAGGGTGATGAGTATTATCTGTGTCTACCTTGTACGTTTGCCTTTGCAGGAAGCATGCTTAGCCTGGGAATGCCTCATCTGTCCTGGCTGTCAGTGGGTGCCTTCTGGCAGGCCACACGTGGCTCTGGTGCTTATTGAGGAGTGCAGCGTGCTCCAGACAGGCCCTTTGCTGACTGCCGGGGCCATGTGCCAGCCAAGCAGGTGTCAGGCCCATTGCCCTGCTGTGCTCAGCAGCACAGTGCCATCCATTGCCAGCCGGAACCACGCAGCAGGCCACACCTGCGCCCACCTGAAATATTCAGCAGCACGAGTCCTCCAGCAGGGGAATCCAGCTCCTTGCTGCACTGGCATAACTGGAGTTCTTGGTGCAAATTAAATATTTTAGAAGTTTTCTATTCTGAAACATTTTTGTCAGGTACTTAGCCGCCTCTAAAACAGCCTCTTGATGTGCAAGCATCTGATATCTTTCTCTTCTATTCTTTTTCCTCTCTTCCTGACCTTTGTATGCCAGACAACAGATGACATTGTTTCATCCGCTGAATGTTCTAGCGATGATGAAGATTTCATTGACTGTGAACCCAGTACAGGTAAGTCAGGTCAGTCTTCTTTTGCTTGCTTTCTGATTTAATTTGCAAAAAACAATGCATACATATATTTATATGTGTGTAAATGTATACATATAGTAATATATGTATATATATGTGTGTGTAAATGTGTATATATATATATCCTTATGTATATATATACTGTATATAAAATAAAAATTGTACAGCCAAGCATCAGATCCCATGGACTTGGCAACAGCAAAGCAAAGATATTTCATCACTGTTTGGTTAAAATAAAGTTATTTGCACAGAGAGCTGTACTTCTTGAAAGTGATTCTAGCTAATTAATAGTTTACATGTTTGTAGAAGTCACTTTACTGACACAGTGGAAAATCAAAAATATCAACATGGCATGTGGCAAATAATAAAGATTTATAAAGTGTGGGGGAGTTAATGCTTGAAAACCAGAGCAGGGAAACAAAAATGAAACAATACTGGTATGTTAATGCTGTTTACTCTTCATTAATTGTATTGAAATTGGACTGTGCAAGGACACATTTGTCCATGGGATTTTGAGTGCAGTTAACCTGGTAATACATTTATACTAATTTTGTTCTCTGTGAGCCCAAAGAAATTGAGGAGCATCAAAACATTGTTCCAACATAACAAAATTAGTAGTAATTCTTGCCATGTTATCTGCAATGATGCTTCAAAATGTATCCATTAAAGAGTCAGAAGGACTGGCCATGTGGAACTGACTCAACTTCTTCCCTTCCAGATACATTTTGATAAACTGATGGCTATTCTTTCTGGTGAGATATATGATGTGATATCCAGCAGGCAACTGCAGTCTATTTTATTTCTTACAGGCTTTTTCAAATCGTCTTTTTTGAGACTTGCCATGAGTTAAGCATTCTATAATAGAGAACAGACATCATTGAATTTCTGTGTACATTTTTTAAAAAAAGGGAGTTTGCGTAGAATCTTATGTCCTTAAAAGTGAAACATATAAATAGCTTAGGTTTTTGTGTTTTTTTTTTTTTTTTTTTTTTTTTTTTTTTTTTTTT